CACACACACACACACACACAAACGTGTCAGCTGTTGTCTTGGTATGACAGTTCAAAAGCAGCACATCAGCATGTTTAAAAATCCACAGTCACTTCCACAATAGTTACTTAAAAACACACGTCTAAGCCTGCTAGAGTTGATACTGTTGAATTTTACAAACTAATGTGAGTACGAGTATTTACACTTGTGTAAATACTGTTGTTATATATATGTTATATAGGGAAACATATGCACTAAACCAAAAAATATGTCAAACTGACACTGTCATCACATCAGAAAAGACAAAATTTCAAATTAAAATTTGTCTGTGTCAAAATGGCGTCACAATTAGATTATAATGGATTTTTGGCACAAGGACCATGTGAGTGTGACACATTAAATATAGTGAAAATATATCAGTGAAAAAAACAACCAATTTTCAGAAGCCCTCTAGCGCCCCCAGGCGGCCCTTATTTTGAATACCACTAACGTAGAATATGTGGAACAGTGTAAAAAACATTTTTCATTCATACAGAAAATGTAATATATCTGTAGTTTCTATTAGCTTGAGATTAATACTTTCCAAATCTTTGGGCCAAAGCCTTTAGGAATTCTTTAGGAATTGGGTTAGACTTAAAAACCTGTGGCCTCAACCTGAGCTTTTACTGAAATTAATTCCATCGTAAGAGTTAACAGTTTGCTTTTTATTGTCGTTCAGGGTAAAACCTTAAAAAATGTCTCACCAGTTCTCGGCTGTAATTCCACAGCATCAGTCAAACCCTGTGAGGACTCCAGGGTCTGCGGAGGACAAGTCTTTGAAAAACACATCCATTGTCTGAGAGAAGTCAAAAGATGTTTTCAAAGACTGGACAGAGACGGTCAGAAGAGACCGTGAGCAGAGTTCACGTGTGGTCATGACAGTGACTGTAATGCACCTACAGTAAAGGCCAAATCAAGTCAATTCAAAGGAAGCTCTGTGACTCTGTGAAGGTCAGTCAAACCAGTAACTAAGTCATTGTTTAAGTTGCTTTGGGAAATCACTCCTAAGTGAAGTGATACCAGTGGACATGTGGACTCCATTTCCTCAACAGACACAGACAGGGCCGCGGTCCAGATTAAAGGTTACTCGTTTTTATCCTGTGGGAAAAGAAAGGCTGTCTTTTCGTTTCTGGTAAATATTATAACTCCAACATTAATCCTCAGATACAGTACTGGGAAAAAAAATTAAAAATTGGGCTGATTAGTTTGTAAATAAATAAATAAATAAAAACAGAACACAGAAAGACACACTGTATATCCCATCATTTCATCATCCATCTACTTATCATTATTATTATACACATCGTCATTTACACACACTGCGGGGTGTGTTTTCATTTCACCTCACATTTCAAATACTCTTTTTGTGTTACACCAGCTCCACTAGGGGCAGTATGTACAGTAACTCTATGGCTGACAAGTTGACTGACACTGTTTTCAAATGGACTCTAAGGGGACCATAGACTGACTAACATTTATCATAAAGTTAAATTTTGAAATAATCAGAATTATTTTCATATTAATAACCTCATCATTTAGATTCAATCCAAATAAAAACAGGTGTAAACATAAACATCTCCCTGCTGGTATTAGTGTTTCAACTCCAACAACTTACAGCATTAAATCGTTTCATTGAGGAACGTTGCTTTATCTAGATTGGTCATGATTAATTGTGATTAATCCACATATTATTATTATTTTACAGCAGATATTTTGAAGAAAAAAAACCATTTAAAATTTCAGCACAGTGTTTTAAATACAACA